TCCTCACTTAGTAATGAACCTGTGACATTGACACGGCAATCCTCACTTAGTAATGAACCTATGACATTGACATGGCAATGCTCACTTAGTAATGAACCTGTGACATTGACACGGCCATCCTCACTTAGTAATGAACCTGTGACATTGACACGACAATCCTCACTTAGTAATGAACCTATAACATTGACATGGCAATCCTCACTTAGTAATGAACCTATGACATTGACATGGTAATCCTCACTTAGTAATGAACCTCTGACATTGACATGGCAATCCTCACTTAGTAATGAACCTGTGACATTAACATGGCAATCCTCACTTAGTAATGAACCTGTGACATTGACATGGCAATCCTCACTTAGTAATGAACCTGTGACATTGACACGGCCATCCTCACTTAGTAATGAACCTGTGACTTTGACAACGCTTTAACTTTGGGGACACGTTTATGTAGGATGAATGGTACATAAAAAAAAGTAAAGTAAAATGTTGTAAAGAAGAAGACCCCTTCTGCTGTGGGTCTAGACACATTTCCAGTTACCAGTTCGAGTGCTAGTATTTTACGTCATTAGTTTTTTGTCGTTGAAAGGTTTCGGTTTGATTTTTTTCATATGAACTTTCTAAACACGATGAAATGCCGACTCAACAATGAAAATTAAGAAACTTTGTTGGAATGCGATCGTTAAGACATTTAATTTTGTTTATCTCCCTTGCCAATTCTCCATTTGTTTAAAATGCCTAACATGTTTACCCTATGGCCTAAAAGTAATGGGAAAACATTTCGTAAAATATTTCACCCATAACTGAACACGTCATTCTAGTTTTCTTGATCATTAGAGTTTTTAAAAATATCTCTTATTGATTTTATTTAAAGGATGTTTAACTAGAAAGAAAATTTAACAAAAGTTACCTTAATGAAAATATCGTTATTATTATTCATTTAGTGTTCCTTCTTTTTCACGCGAAGATGAACAGTTTTCGACTTGAAGAACTAGATATTTCATCGGTCCCATCTGGATGCTTTCTAAGTAGCGAGTCGCTTGTTATTCCTCGTGTTTGTAGAGTGCATTTGGTTCTGGTGTTGTGTAATGGACGAATCCTGTTAATTTATTTATTTATTTATTTAGGCATTTTTATATAGCGCTTATCATAAAGCTCTAAGCGCTTTACAATTATTAAAACATGTAAACTAAGTAAAATAAAAATGAGACACTAGGATAGTAACTACTATTCTATAGAAACAATGAAAATGGCTATAAAACGAGGACACTTTGACACTTCAGGATCAACCCGAAACAGAAAATGAGGTAGGGCAAGGAGGGTGCATCACAGGTCATAGGCGGACCTAAACAGATGAGTTTTAAGGGACTTTTTGAAAATGGACGAGGTTTCACTATGACGTATATGGAAGGGGAGCTGGTTCCAGAACGTGGGCCCATGGAAGCAGAAGGAGCGTTCACCGATGGTCTTAGTTTTAGTTCTTGGGATTGAGAGGGTTCTACTGTCAATGGAAGAACGTAGTTGTCTTGTGGGGATGTAAGGAAGCAACAGATCAGAGAGATAGACAGGAAAGTGAGGGTCAGTGAACGAGTTGAAGCAAAGATTGGAAGACTTGTATTTGATGCGAGAGGATATTGGAAGCCAGTGGAGTTGCCGCATGTGTGGTTGAATGTGGTCATGTTTCTTTAATTTAAAAATGAGTCTGCATGCTGAGTTCTGTGCCTTCTGAAGTTTGTCTATTAATGTCCTATCATGTTAATCATTGTTGGAATTACTTGTCGAACTCATTCGATGTAACACGTGACGATGATATGGCCATAGACTAACATACTTCCATGTGCCTATGTCTTTAATAAAAACAGCTATATTGTATGTCTTTGAATATACTGCTTTGCGCTTATTTCATAAGTAAACAGCATGAGAGAAAGTATACCATTAACAGTGATATCGTTATGGTTACACATACTTTCTTTGCAACGTTATCTTAAATAGGAATGGCGTTTGTGGCACTATACAACTAACGGTCATATTTTATAGCGCTATGGAAGGGGCCAGCGAACTTAATAAGCCATTAACACAAAATAAATTTATTTACGCCGACTCGATGTTAAAGTAAGAAAATACTAGACTATTTAAATTCAAAATTGTTTATTGAATCCATTTAGACGGACAATTTGATTATAAATATAAAAAGTACAATAAAAATTCGATCAAATAAATCAATCAACCCTCAATATTTAACAAACGGAGTTCTTTGAAAATAAATTCGTTTTAGATTTTTTTTTTTTTTGTGTGGAAATATTGTTTCATTTTGACACAATGATATCAAAATTGGGGCCTTTATAAATCAGAACAAATACGTACATGGGAATAGAAGATAAGATAGGATTCTTTTATTGATCTAAGCAAATGGAAATGTTTTTTTGAATTATTATACTTATACATTTTCAGCACATAAATAAATATATATATTTTTAAAAAGTCTACATTTTTCAACTAAAACAATTTAAACATCTACATTAAATTATTTCTCTAATGTAAAATCAGCCACTCAGTGAACTCCCTTAGTCATAACAGGGACTTATAAGTTCTCATTTAGATGTCTGACGTCAAGGGGGGGGGGGAGCACGCTGGTAGATTCGTACAGATTGGGGAACAAACGAATTAGTATATCTTTCAGTCCTTGCTTTGAGAGTAAGAATTCGCCCCGAACGGGCTGATCCTAAGTACCGGGTATCTCTGATGAAGAGCGTATCATCCAATTTTTTTTTTAGCTTTACAAAATCCTTTTCTTCAAACTGTTCTTCAAGTGAAGGGTGTTTGGTTTGTGTTATGTTCCTAGCTTTCTTGATTACTCGGTTGATTCGGTGTTATATATAAGAGGATGAATTCGCACACCAGCAGTTAATACTGAAATTAAGTAGGCTTCAAAATTGTTGCACTGTAGAATAAGTATATAACTTGTTTCGTTACGCCGAAATTGTACAGTTTTTTTAAGGTGGAAAAGTCTTTGGTTGATTTTTTTAATACAGATTTGGCCCGTGCTCATGCCATGTTAGTTTATTATTAATGGTGACAACTAAGTGCCTATATGCCTCTAATTCTCTACACTTTGTGGTAAATTGAGTTATTTCGATGTTTTGTTTTTTATGTTAATAATATGTGAAAAATGATTGTTTACAACTGTTTATTGTTACAAAAGGCGGCACTTACAGACGGCTTCCTCACAGGGGTTACAGACAATGGGAAATAGTAAATTTGACAGACTTCGATCAAGTCAGTTTTTATAACATAAATAAGTTAAATTCAAGAGAATTGTGCGTTAAAGAAAAGGGTAGCACGAGAGAGGAGTACAGACAGAGTGGGTTCACGAGAGAGGAGTACAGACAGAGTGGGTTCACGAGAGAAGAGTACAGACAGAGTGGGTTCACGAGAGAGGAGTACAGACAGAGTGGGTTCATGGAGCAGGCAGACTTGGAGGTCTATGGGAAGTCTGAATGGGGTAACACCATGACTTTACAACACTGGAGGGAACCAACTTAGTGGCGCCCTGAGCGCAAGATTAAATGACGTTTACACGATGAGACGTGAACTATTCCATAAGAAAGTAAAAGTGTTGCTAGAAAAAAAAAACGTTTAGTAAAAAAGGAAAACCGCTTTAAATGTAATGAACTGTAATGTTATGTTTGTTTACTCAGCCGTTATTAACTCCAGATTTTGATTTTTTTTCTCCATTTTGGTTTATTATTACCCTAGTTTGCTAACCCCTGCACTATTGATAAATATACTGCTCTGTGCTTAAATCTTACATTGACAACAGTGTCTGCTAGTAGAATCGTAACAGTTATATCATGTTATTAAATATAATTTTACGTGAAAATGTCTTACATAGATACAACGTGTGCGACAGATATAAATGTATAAGCCAAGTTTCTAGAATTGTAGGTTAGTCCGAGGCATCTGGTATCCTAGCGCCTCCGTGCTCAAAATTGGTCCTGAATATTTGCAAACATAATCATTGTTGTACATGTACGCCCGAACATTTCACATAGAATTGGAGAGCGAAACTGCGCCATTGTTATAAGTAAAATACCGCAGCATAATTTATTAGATGATTAAACACAATTGAAGTTTTGTTCTCTGTGCCCTCTGAAGTAATAGCCTGCATTACACTTGTCGTTATTGTTAGTTATGTAATTGAATGTTTCACATACTGTAAATAACTTGTAATATATATTGTAACGTCTATCTCTTCTTCCTTTACATTGGAATAAATCTGTAGTGTCTCAAGTCCTCTCATATTTCATAGGTAAATATTAGCACTTTAACTACCACTCGGCTACATTTTTAAAAAAAAGTAATTTTGAACATATCGTTTTAATTATAATACGAAATATCCTCTTTTTTTTTCAAAAAATGGCTTAATCGTGGAAAACCAATTTTGGAATTAACGTAACAGACCATTTCGCTAAAAGTCATTGATAAATTCCTTTTAAAAAATTAAGCAAGGGCACGTAATTATTGACATAAAGATAATGTGAACTATATTCAACCTCATATAGACATCACACAATTTAAGAAACTGGTTACATTATTTAACAGGAGACATACATGTGAGTCTTCAATAATTAAAATAAAATAAAACCATGATTTCAAAATAGGACAGCTCAGCATAGGACGGATTCAAGATGTGTTTGTAACAAATGAGACTCGAGACAACATCAAATAAATATGACAACTTCTTGATCAAACTTGTGATCACTGGTCAGACTCTGAGCCAGAAACATGATTTACAACTTCCTTCAGCCGGTTGATGAGCTCACCGAGGTCAGCATTTAGATGACGCACTTCCTGTTTCTCTCTCCACACGGCCTTAAATCCAATTCTGGCCAATACCTTCAGATCGGTCTTCAGCCTGATTTGATCGATCACGTTGCCGTTGCTGCTGGCAGACTCCTCGCGACGGACGAGGCTCTTGGCTGAACCTGCGCACTGCTGCAGCTCCCAGAACTGGTCCGCCATAGAAGATGCCGAGAGGTCACCCGGTGGCCCGTGTTTATAACACTCAAGGATGTATGAATCTGACTTTGACCTTGGGAAGAGATGAGTGCCGAACACCCCGTTCTCTTCACCAACTTGCACAAACTGTAGGTCGTGCTCAGACAATGTGTTGTCTCCTCTCAGATCTCTCGAGTGGCACTGATCGTTTTGGCTGCTCCAGCGACCGCACGGCTTGACTTTGTTTCGGGAGACTTCTTCGTGCGCGTGACGGATATTGCAGCTTGAGCTTAGCCGGGACAGATCGGGGGCTTCCGTCTGCTGGGACGTCCCACAAGATGTGCTGGCGTCACTGACTCGCTTGGCAGCCGGCCCCTGCTCCACGACAAAGATGTTGTCGGTTTTGTTGATCCTTTTGACGTTAAGTTTGACGTCGAGAGTTGGGTAAAGGTTGTGATTTCTGTAGGCAATGATCTGTTAAAAAATATTGAAAAGAAACGTCGACCTCATCATCTGATAACACCAAAACGTTGGTACTTAATAAGGAGATGGTAACACCAAAATGTTGGTACTTAATAAGGAGATGTTAACACCAAAATGTTGGTACTTAATAAGGAGATGGTAACACCAAAATGTTGGTACTTAATAAGGAGATGGTAACACCAAAATGTTGGTATTTAATAAGGAGATGTTAACACCAAAATATTGGTACTTAATAAGGAGATGGTAACACCAAAATGTTGGTACTTAATAAGGAGATGGTAACACCAAAATGTTGGTACTTAATAAGGAGATGGCAACACCAAAATGTTGGTACTTAATAAGGAGATGGTAACACCAAAATTTTGGTACTTAATAATGAGATGGTAACACCAAAATGTTGGTACTTAATAAGGAGATGGTAACACCAAAATTTTGGCACTTAATAAGGAGATGGTAACACCAAAATGTTGGTACTTAATAAGGAGATGGTAACAACATAAGCTTTATACGGCTACTAGTGCCACTAGCTCAGATAAGCTCAACCATGTAAACAGTCAACGTACCGAAACCAACTTGAAGATTTCACGTCCCTTCAGTCTGTCATGTCGATTTAACGATACTTTATAGTAGCACCAATCTTTAAATTATTAAAATGTATTGGAGTAATTGCAAGCTTAACAAATGATCATGGATACATTAAACTGATTTTATTGTCATATCATGATGGTGAGAACTTTCATTGATAGACTTTTCACTTCTAAACCATCATGAGCACTCAAATATTTCTGCATCCGTTGTTTAAAAAATATTTTTTCCGTCTTTATAAACATTGGCACTAAATCTCAGCAACTATTTTGCCCACAAAGACTGACACTAAATCTCAGCAAATATTTTGCCCAAAAATGCTAATAGCATGACTCATAGTTGTGAGCGAATAATCACCTTGGGAACGAAAACGAGGCACTGTGTCATAGTTGTGACTAGAATTAACATGCCCGACTCAAGGGCATAATTGATTTCCGGTTTGTCATTTGTTGCCATGACTACCACAACGCCCACAGGTCCCAGGACCACAACATTGTAGATGCACATCGTGATCCATTTGGAGTCGTTTAATTCGGGACACGAGACCTGGGGATCAGCATTCAAAAAGTATGTAAAACATTTAAATACTGACTTTTGGTCATCAGTCTAGAAAGCTCGGCCATCAATCTAACAATCCTTGCCGACAACTTGAGTTCCAAGACATATCGTCCATGTTGGCAAGAGTAAGAACTCGCATGGAGAGGATTGGTTGTTTCGGAAGAAAACATTAAGCCATTAAAAACTTTAAAGAACGCAATTGACACAATAAATATGTTCAAAATGTGAATGCAGCATTGAAAATATATAATGAAGGACTGCTGGACGGAAATAATCTTAAAATTAAAATACAATTTAAAAAAATTACCACGTGTTTCTTTGTTAAGCAATAAAATAACTTTAAAACTTAAGAGAGATAACTCTGAAATTATTGTCATAAAAATGCACGTGCAAATTACCAGAAGGCTTGACCATCTAGCACTCCAAGCATTACCCACAGTCCTAACCATCTAGCACTCCAAGCATTACCCACATACCTAACCATCTAGCACTCCAAGCATTACCCACAGTCCTAACCATCTAGCACTCTAAGCATTACCCAGAGTCCTAGCAATCTAGCACTCCAGCATCACCAAAAGTCCTAACCATCTAGCACTTCAGCATTACCCACAGACATAACCATCTAGCACTCCAGCATCACCCACAGGACTAACCATCTAGCACTTCAAGCATTACCCACAGTCCTAACCATCTAGCACTCCAGCATCACCCACAAGCCTAACCGTCTAGCACTCCAAGCATCACCCACAGTCCTAACCATCTAGTACTGCAAGCATTACCCACAGTCCTAACCATCTAGCACTCCAAGCATTACCCACAGGCCTAACCATCTAGCACTCCAGCATCACCCACAGTCCTAACCATCTAGCACTCCAGCATCACCCACAGGCCTAACCATCTAGCACTCCAATCATCATCCACAGGCCTAACCATCTAGCACTCCAGCATCACCCACAGGCCTAACCATCTAGCACTCCAAGCACAACCCACAGCCCAAACCATCTAGCACTCCTCATCATCACCCACAGTCCTAACCATCTATCTCTCCAGCATCACCCACAGGCCTAACCATCTAGCACTCCAATCATCACCCACAGGCCTAACCATCTAGCACTCCAGCATCACCCACAGGCCTAACCATTTAGCACTCCAAGCATTACCCACAGTCCTAACCATCTAGCACTCCAGCATCATCCACAGGCCTAACCATCTAGCACTACAGCATCAACCACAGGCCTAACCACGAGCACTCAAGCCTCACCCACAGGCCTTACCATCTATCACTCTAGTATCACCCACAGGCCTAACCATCTAGCACTCCAAGCATCACCCACAGGCCTTACCATCTAGCACTCTAGCATCACCCACAGGCCTAACCTCCAGCACTCAAGCATCACCCACAGGCCTAACCATCTAGCACTACAGCATCATCCACAGGCCTAACCTCTAGCACTCAAGCATCACCCACAGGCCTAACCATCTAGCATTCCAAGCATTAACCACAGTCCTAACCATCTAGCACTTCAAGCATTACCCACAGTCCTAACCATCTAGCACTCCAAGCATTACCCACAGTCCTAACCGTCTAGCACTTCAAGCATTACCGACAGTCCTAACCATCTAGCACTCCAAGCATTACCCACAGTCCTAACCATCTAGCACTCCAAGCATTACCCACAGTCCTAACCGTCTAGCACTCCAAGCATTACCCACAGTCCTAACCGTCTAGCACTCCAAGCATTACCCACAGTCCTAACCATCTAGCACTCCAAGCATTACCAACAGTCCTAACCGTCTTGCACTCCAAGCATTACTCACAGTCCTAACCGTCTAGCACTCCAAGCATTACCCACAGTCCTAACCATCTAGCACTCCAAGCATTACCCACAGTCCTAACCATCTAGCACTCCAAGCATTACCCACAGTCCTAACCGTCTTGCACTCCAAGCATTACCCACAGTCCTAACCATTTAGCACTCCAAGCATTACCCACAGTCCTAACCATCTAGCTCTCCAGCATCACCCACAGGCCTAACCATCTAGCACTACAGCATCAACCACAGGCCTAACCACTAGCACTCAAGCATCACCCACAGGCCTAACCATCTATCACTGTAGCATCAACCACAGGCCTAACCATCTAGCACTACAGCATCACCCACAGGCCTAACCTCTAGCACTCAAGCATCACCCACAGGCCTAACCATCTAGCACTCCAATCATCACCCACAGTCCTAACCATCTAGCACTCCAGCATCACCCACAGGCCTAACCATCTAGCACTCCAAGCATTAACCACAGTCCTAACCATCTAGCACTTCAAGCATTACCCACAGTCCTAACCATCTAGCACTCCAAGCATTACCCACAGTCCTAACCGTCTAGCACTCCAAGCATTACCCACAGTCCTAACCGTCTAGCACCCCAAGCATTACCCACAATCCTAACCATCTAGCACTCCAAGCATTACCCACAGTCCTAACCGTATGCACTCCAAGCATTACCCACAGTCCTAACCGTCTAGCACTTCTAGCATTACCCACAGTCCTAACCATCTAGCACCCTAAGCATTACCCACAGTCCTAACCATCTAGCACTCTAAGCATTACCCACAGTCCTAACCGTCTAGCACTCCAAGCATTACCCACAGTACTAACCGTCTCGCAATCCAAGCATTACCCACAGTCCTAACCATCTAGCACTCCAAGCATTACCCACAGTCCTAACCGTCTAGCACTCTAAGCATTACCCACAGTCCTAACCATCTAGCACTCCAAGCATTACCCAAAGTCCTAACCGTCTAGCACTCCAAGCATTACCCACAGTCCTAACCGTCTCGCAATCCAAGCATTACCCACAGTCCTAACCGTCTAGCACTCCAAGCATTACCCACAGTCCTAACCATCTAGCACTCCAAGCATTACCCACAGTCCTAACCATCTAGCACTCCAAGCATTACCCACAGTCCTAACCATCTAGCACTCCAAGCATTACCCACATTCCTAACCATCTAACACTCCAAGCATTACCCACAGTCCTAACCATCTAGCACTCCAAGCATTACCCACATTCCTAATCATCTAGCACTCCAAGCATTACCCACAATCTTTACCATCTAGCACTCCAAGCATTACCCACAGTCCTAACCGTCTAGCACTCCAAGCATTACCCATAGTCCTAACCGTCTAGCACTCCAAGCATTACCAACAGTCCTAACCGTCTAGCACTCCAAGCATTACCCACAGTCCTAACCATCTAGCACTCCAAGCATTACCCACAGTCCTAAACATCTAGCACTCCAAGCATTACCCACAGTCCTAACCATCTAGCACTCCAAGCATTACCCAAAGTCCTAACCATCTAGCACTCCAAGCATTACCCACAGTCCTAACCATCTAGCACTCCAAGCATTACCCACAGTCCTAACCATCTAGCACTCCAAGCATTACCCACAGTCCTAACCATCTAGCACTCCAAGCATTACCCACAGTCCTAACCATCTAGCACTCCAAGCATTACCCACAGTCCTAACCATCTAGCACTCCAAGCATTACCCACAGTCCTAACCATCTAGCACTCCAAGCATTACCCACAGTCCTAACCATCTAGCACTCCAAGCATTACCCACAGTCCTAACCATCTAGCACTCCAGCATCACCCACAGGCCTAACCATCTAGCACTACAGCATCACCCACAGGCCTAACCTCTAGCACTCAAGCATCACCCACAGGCCTTACCATCTAGCACTCTAGCATCACCCACAGGCCTAACCATCTAGCACTCCAAGCATCACCCACAGTCCTAACCATCTAGCACTCTAGCATCACCCACAGGCCTAACCTCTAGCACTCAAGCATCACCCACAGGCATAACCATCTAGCACTACAGCATCACCCACAGGCCTAACCATCTAGCACTCAAGCATCACCCACAGGCCTAACCATCTAGCACTCAAGCATCTACCACAGTCCTAACCATCTTGCACTCCAAGCATCACCCACAGTCCTAACCATCTAGCACTCCAAGCATTACCCACAGTCCTAACCATCTAGCACTCCAAGCATTACCCACAGTCCTAACCATCTAGCACTCCAGCATCACCCACAGGGCTAACCATCTAGCACTCAAGCATCACCCACAGTCCTAACCATCTAGCACTCTTGCATCACCCACAGGCCTAACCTCTAGCACTCAAGCATCACCCACAGTCCTAACTATCTAGCACTCTAGCATCACCCACAGGCCTAACCTCTAGCACTCAAGCATCACCTACAGTCCTAACCATCTAGCACTCTAGCATCACCCACAGGCCTAACCTCTAGCACTCAAGCATCACCCACAGGCCTAACCAGCTAGCACTCAAGCATCACCCACAGTCCTAACCATCTTGCACTCCAAGCATTACCCACAGTCCTAACCATCTAGCACTCCAAGCATTACCCACAGTCCTAACCATCTAGCACTCCAAGCATTACCCACCGTCCTAACCATCTAGCACTCCAGCATCACCCACAGGGCTAACCATCTAGCACTCAAGCATCACCCACAGTCCTAACCATCTAGCACTCTAGCATCACCCACAGGCCTAACCTCTAGCACTCAAGCATCACCCACAGTCCTAACTATCTAGCACTCTAGCATCACCCACAGGCCTAACCTCTAGCACTCAAGCATCACCTACAGTCCTAACCATCTAGGACTCTAGCATCACCCACAGGCCTAACCTCTAGCACTCAAGCATCACCCACAGGCCTAACCTCTAGCACTCAAGCATCACCCACAGGCCTAACCATCTAGCACTCAAGTATCACCCACAGTCCTAACCATCTAGCACTCTAGCATCACCCACAGGCCTAACCTCTAGCACTCAAGCATTACCCACAGGCCTAACCATCTAGCACTCAAGCTTCACCCACATGCCTAACCTCTAGCACTCAAGCATCACCCACAGTCCTAACCATCTAGCACTCTAGCATCACCCACAGGCCTAACCTCTAGCACTCAAGCATCACCC